TTCTGGATAGAGCATATAGACAGATGAAACTGTTTAAAAAAAAAATCTTAAATGCAAAATGTTTCTATATATATATATATATATATATATATATATATATATATATGTATATATTTTTTTTTTTTGCAATTTTGATATAATTACTGCTCTAAGTGGGTTCCTCTGTCAGCTTAAGGCATTTTTTTTTTTTTTACAGTTTCTGTATTCTATTTAATTATTAATCGATTACTAAATTAGTTGACGATTACTTCAATAATTTATTAATCCAATGAATTGTTTCAGCCCTACTCTGGATCACCGGCTTTAACCCTCAGTGTGTTCGCAGCTGGCAGGTCTACATGGTGCTTCAGAAACCGTCAGCCTGCATCTGTGACTTCCTGTTTCCTGAACAGTTTCATCATCAGACCTCGTTCTTTACCGCTTCAGCTGTACCAAAACTCTGAGTCCACACCATCCTATCATCTCAGCATTCTCCTAACATCAGAAAATAATATAATTTATACATTCCAGAGATTACTTCTTGCACCAAGATTCATCCTAAACCAAACCTGAAGCCGTTAAGGTCCTGAACCCTTGGTGACCCTACATTAGGATGGATCTCCATAGGACATTCTGGCTGAGGCAGATTTACAGAACGGTTCCAACTGTGGCTGCATCGTAACAGAAAACCATATCACGGTCTTAAATTTGGGTTAATGCTGATTATCCCCCATTTACCTCCATCATTTATCCATAATCAGTGTTTCTGATATTCTCAGAGAGCTTTAGCATACAGGCTAATAATTTATAAATTACTAAATCTATTTTCCCTGTTTTTTTTAAAGACACAAGAGGCAACGGGAGTCTATAAAAGGCTCCCAATGTTGACCAGATCAGATTCTCAGTAGTAAAAATATCTGATTCTAAAGCAAGACATTTCAGCTTTTGTTTTTTTTTAAGGTCATTAAGTCCAACATTAACTCACATTTCTGTTGACCACTAAACAAGGTGGGAGATTCCTTGAGGATCTGCTGTTAGATCCTTCATCATATCTTGAACTAGTTTTAAAATCAGGAATTCGAGCTAAATTTGACCATTTCGGCTTTCCATACACGTGATAAATACTGATGCAAAACTGTTGCATTGAGCTTGTGTTATCCGCCCGGTTCTTAGAGCAATAGCCGATTGGTTTTCTGTATCGTCATTGTAATGATGATTCTACTACACTCGCATTTTCTAACCTGATTTCAAATCAAAATGAAAATATGCTGTTTCCTTAATGAAGTCTGGCGCAGCCGTTTGTAACAGCTGCACGCATAAAGAGCTGCAGATTAACTGGGAACATATTCGATGCAGGGACAGAGCCAAAACCCTTTCCAGATTTTACAAACCGTTTCACCTTTATCAATAACGACTTATTTATTTCAATTTAATTGAAACGTTTTAGCGCTAGCTTAACGGAAACCGAATATTTAAGAACTGGTGCTCTCAACAACAGAATAAAATGTGAGATCTGTCTGTCTGATTTTTTGAAAAAAAAATTAAAACCATCAAAACTCATCTGAAAGCAGAAGGAACAATAAAACATTTAAACTTTATATCTTACTTTCTCCAGCAGCCCGCTCTTCCCGTTCCGAGCCGCCATCTTTCCCTTCCAAATAAGGAAGTTGTGAGTTGGACCAATCTGATTGGCTGAAAAGCCTCAACCTTCTTCTTCTTCTTCTTATGAGATTTTATGGCGGTTGGCAAACTTGTGAAATGTGCATTACCGCCACCAACTGATATGGAGTAAAGCAAGGAAACAGGAAACGATTCACCCCCCCCAATAAAAATAAATAAATAAATAAATTAAAAAATAAAAAATAAAAAAAATACCTGTGTAACTTAAACCCACATAATACTAAATTATACTAAATTACATTTGCCCGTATAATTTTAATTTACTCTAGGTCATCGTAACTCTGCCAGTTTCTGATGGTCCCATTGGTCTTTCCATCACATCCAGATATTTTTCTGCAGCCTTCACTATTATTTTGATTTTTTCTGTTTTTTTTTGTCGTCTGAGCAGTACAATTAATTACTTCTACCATGAAAAGAACAAAATTTGTCTTTTTAACAATTAGTGAGTCTTCATCAATTTTTGGAGATTTCTCTAGAGGTTTGAAATTTGCCGTGTGTTGAACTGTAGGTTTGGGTTTTTCTAATTGAGATGGGATCCTTTTTGCAGCTTCAGCATAAGTTATTCCGAGCTCAAATTTCATTTTTTTTTATTTCTTCAGACCTTTTGCTTGCTTCACAGCCGCGATAAGCAGCAGTATGTTCTCCACCACAATTACAGCATTTTATTTTAGCTTCTTTTCCACATTTACCATATTCATGTTCTCCTGCACACCTTCCACACCTCTGTTTCCCTTTACAAACTGCTGCAATGTGTCCGAATTTTTGACATTTGAAACATCTCAATGGTGGTGGATTGTAGATTTTGACATTGTAACTGATGTAACCAATGAATACTTTGCTTGGTAATTGCTCTTCCTCGAATTTAATTAGTACAGATAAACTGTCAGATCTTTCTCCGTTTCTTGTTGTTTTTAACCGTTTTACTTCTTTTACTTTTGCACCGCTTATGTTTTCCAGAATCTCTTTTTCAGAAATTTTCAGAGGAACTCCTCCAATGACTCCCCTGCTGATCTTTTTGTTCTCCATTAGGCTGCACTGAACTCTTATCCCGTCAATTTTGTTAATTCGTATTGCTTTGCCTTGCTGGGCGCTGTCTCTGCAGTTAATTAGCAGGTCTCCACTGTACAGAATTCTGGCACCTCTGACTTCTCCAACAAGTTTATTGACGGTTTTTGTTAAGTGAACCGGATTCCAGTTTGTAAAAGAGTCTGCCTGATTAACGACTTTGAATATGACTTTGAATTCATTTTGTTTTGCTGTGGAATGTATGGATTGATCATCACTGGATTGTTCTGAACTAGATTCCCCTTTAACTGATCTCTGTTTTTTCCGCTTTTTCTCATTTTTTGATGCTGCTATCTTCCAACCTTCATTGTCACTATTTCCCTCTTCCATCCCACAAGAATCGCTTCCTGTTTCCTCACTACTCACGGCCCAGGACATTTCTCCACAAGCAGAGCAGCTTCAAAACACGCGCCATGCACCAAACGACCAACGTCTCGACCTCTCTCTCCATCCACCAGCCGGCCGCCAAGCCTCAACCTTTTTTTTTCTTATTAATCTTTATTAGTTTCCACAAATAATACAAACATACCCCAAATGCCAGCAGAAAGCAAGAACAATAAAAAAAAATAGCATCAAAATACAAATTACATATATAAATAAATATGACTGTTGAGAATGTAAATGTTTTTCGTGGGTTTTTTGTTCTTAAATCCTTCATTGTGATGTTTTATATATCAAGTAAAGGTGATTGTGTTTTAAGTTTAACTTCCTTTTTAAGGTGAAATTTTCCCAGAGGGAATTAAGTTGGGTGAAAAACATTAAGCCATGACCTTATCATCAAAGCTTAGAAGTCCAAAATGCCCTGATATTAGTTCACTGAAAAAAACTATAAAACGACTTTAATTATTTCACATATCATCCCATAATAATCAATATCAAACATAAATCTCTAGTTTTTTAGTGCAGGGAATATATTATGTACAATTTTATGTGTTGATGAGACTTATTATTGATGTGTGAGTCTATAAAACCTAAGTCTATTTAGATAGAAAACTTTGTATCAATTTGACTGTATGATCTGGTTGAACTGTAAAGTGCCTTGAGATGACATGTGTTGTGAATTTGGCGCTATATAAATAAACTGAATTGAATTTAATTGAATTAAACCCTAATAATACTGGCCTTTTGTGTGTCAGAAATCCCATTATTTTGTGAAAATTTCTCTTAATTTAATCAGATTTACCTCGTTAACCTCTCCAGTTATAAAAGATGAGAAAAAACCCCCAGAAAAATTATTTAAGCATTTGCTTAAGGTGACCTTCATTATTTCACATTTTGAACAGACGTTAAAATTCCATGTCTGATAAATTCCTAAAAGTAAAGTGACTTGCATGAAATATTCCCATTGTGCCACGTCTCGACAAGTTGAGCTTTAAGTTTCCGAGCCAGAACATAAAATTATTAAATAAGCCACATTTTAGATTTTATAAGAATGCCTATCAGTCATTTACCTACCAGACAACAATAAAGTTAAGGAAAATATTACAAACCACATCCTTTTTTTTTTTTTCTAAACTGAACTATTCAGGATTTCAAAACATAGAACATCTAATCCACCAATCTTTCCGATATTATAAAGAATATAGCTTAATTTTGCACACCTCCTCTGGCATTTCTAACCATAAGGAAGTGTTCACAGCTCTGGAGATTGCTTCAATTTATAAGTGATCATTGGATTTTATTTTATTCAACTTTCTCATTAACAGGAACACAATTAACCTGAATCAGCGTAGACATTGTTAGTGAGAACAGAAGTGATTGATCCATATTTGCAGGGAATGAATTAAGTTACTCATCTTGAGTAAATTAGAAATAAAAACATCAGCTAATAGTTGTAATCGGATGTGTCTATCTAAAGCTAGCATACCCGTAAATTGTTCTTTTTTTTTAACATGTATCGACATAATTTATGTGACCAGAAGATAGTTTGTAAACCAGTGAATCAATGATTAAATACTCAATCTTCTACTTTAAGCATTGCTGAGGAAACAAATGTACAAAAAAAAAAAAACAATGGTGAAGGAATTACAGAATAACTTTTATGTAATATTATCAATAACTCAAAAAGTCTGAAATTTAATTCAAAAGACTATTTTAAACAGAAATAAATAAAAAGAAACACTTAAATAAAGGCAAACTGAACATGTTAACTTAGAAAATTAAAACATTTGCTAACAAAAATTAAGGGAAAAAAACAAAACAGAAATCTAAGTTCATTTTTAAAAATAAAGTAACTTACAAAGATTTTTAGGTCAAGAAATTTTGTACGGGACACATTCCTGTTATATGGTTTTTATTTCGTTCCTGCTCATTTCTTCTTCTGCGGTTTTACATGATGTACAGACAGGAGCATTCGACCAGGACGCAATGCAGCCAAATAAATCGGTTCTTATTTTATTCAATCCAGGAAACAATTTTGTGAAGTGTTAAGAGATGCACCGATTCCTGGGCTGAGGTTCAGGCAGTCATGGCTGCTGCAGCTTGTTCATCCAACAGGCAGCCCTCTCTGCTGCGCTCTGATTGGTTGAGGAGTTTTCAGAGAGATGATGCTTAAAATACTGACATTTCAATAAATACACACAAATATGCAGCCAGTTTACATGATGCATGTTGCGGTGAGGAGCTGAAATGCTTAGCGGATTACAGAGCAGGTTTTAGTTGCGGTGATCTCTGCAGATGTCTGTTCCATCACTCAGGAATCGGTCCATCCCCAGAACTGATCAGCTGATTAGCAGTAATCAATAAATACAGCTTGATTAACATAAACAGGTTGAACTCTTAGGGTCTGTAGGGGTTCTGGTCACAGCTCTGAGAGTTTTTGGTGCTCTGCTGGTGTTTGGAAGAAACAATCTGCTTGTTAAAAACTTTCCTTTGGTCTCTTTGCATATCTGAGTTACTGGAATCTGAAACCGACTCTTTCAGAGCTTCTTGCTGAGTCGGCGGGAGGCCCTCAGGCCCCGCCTTCTACGGTTCTGAGTGGACCTCCAGGACCGCAGGAAGTACCCGTCAGGGCTGCTCCTGCGGATCTCCAGGTCGAACTGTCTCTGCAGTTTAAGGGCGAGTGCTCTGTCCTGTTGTTCCTGTTGGGCCGGACACAGCGCCTCCTGCTGGACGCCGGTCCGGCTCCTCTTACGGTCCAGATTCAGGGCCGGATCCAGGTGTTTGGTCTTCTGGTTCCTCTTCTTGCCCCTCCTTGAGGTAGTCTGGTTGTGGATGCTGCTGTCCCACTCCTTCCTGGGACTCGAAGTGTCCTTTGGCACAAATTTTCCGGGTTGGAATCCAGAGTTGTTGCACGGTGAGAATGACCGTTTCCGGCTGAGCGGCGCCGGCCCGCCACACGGCTCCGAGGTAACGCCTGGCCGCTCAAAGTCTGCGCACCCTCTGAGGTCAGAACCACAGCTGTAGCGGACAGCTGGGACCCGAATCTTCACCGATTGTTTCTGGAAGCTGTCCATGTCTGGAGGCTCAAACAGCAGCCTCCTTCTGTTTGACATCGCTACGGCGCCTCGATGCTGATGCGTCTTTGAGGCTCCGCCCCCTACTTCAGGCTTGCTGTGCTCAGAGACAGGACTAGTGAGCGTGGCCCTGGAGCTGACCTTTAGGCCCTCTCGGTCCAGCTCGATCTGCCTCCACTTCTGCAGGACGGCTGGACTGGCCTCATAGCTGGTGGCCTTGTGCAGGCTGCGGCTCAGGTTCCGCGGCGTCGCTTTGACGATGGTGGGCTCCAGCAGGCGGCCGTCCGGCAGCCGCTTGGGCGGGGTGCACGGCGAGCAGACGATGGGTTTGAAGTGGTTGAGCTCCTCAGAGATGCTGTCGTTGCTCTCAGGGCTGATGGAGCGCTCGGTTCGAGGCGGCGGCAGGCTCAGAGGAGCCGATGATGTCAGCACCGCCCGCCAGGCAAGCCGCCGGTCGGGGGCAGTGATGGGGGCGGAGATGGAGCGGCTGTTCTCTGATGACAGCAGGATTCCTGCTGCGGAGCTGTGACTGATTCCCACCTGAAGGACAGAGACGGAGGAACGGGTCAGAGCAGCAGTGAGTAGGATCCCGCTAGCTTCATCTGGACCAACGTACCCGCTCCATCACAGCCGCTGGCGGGACAGCGACCTTCGTCTTTCCTCCTCTGTCCTCCATCGGGTCGGTGCAGCTTCGACTCCTCTGGGAAACGCTGAGGAAGTAAGAAACGGAAGTCAGAGACCAAAGCCCAGGAGAACCCTGGGTCGGAGCTGCTCTGCTCACCTGCTGACAGCTGAGGAGTTTTTGGTTTTCCTGATGAACGCCGAGATGTTCCTGATCCTCCTGCTTATTGGCTCCTCATTCTCCGAGTCCGACAGAACACCCTGAACACAGCAGCGGGTTAAGAAAATGGCAGGCAGCACAAACAGACGCCGTGGATCCATCAGACTCACCGGCTCCACACCAAGTCGGACTGAACCGGGTTCTTCTTTACCCATCAGACAGTTCCACCTCCTCGGCTCGTCTCTGTCGTCGGAGCCCAGCAGCTGGAACAGGAAATGACAGAAGAAGCTCCTCACCATGTCCCAGGCTCCCTGCTGGCTGGAGAACGGTGACTCACCTTATGTTTCCCTGCTGGACCTGAAGGAGCGTCTGCAGACTTGGTCAGCAGGGCTGGACAGATGAACACCTCTGGGAAGAAGAAGACAGAAAGAACATGAACAGAGATGTCACCACCAGGCTTCTGTAGAAGGTCTCCCGCCCCCTTAGATTTTAGGAGGATCTACAATCCAGGTAGAGGGTCCTATAGGGACATGTCTCTCCTTTGTTCTGTTGTTTCAAAGCCTCTAATTGAAGAACCAACAACCATCAAAACACCTGAGGGTTAGGCTGTAGCGCCACCTTCAGCACAAACACAGCAGGCGTCTTCAGGTACATCCGCACCATTTGCTTTAGCTTCCTCTCATCAGCTGGGATGTGCTCATTCACAGATATCTGGGCTTTAACTAGACCTTCTAAAGCCTCAAACATTTATAACCCCTGAAAGTTTGAAATAAGCATTTTCCCCATTCTTTAGCTTTTCCTCCGTCACCAATCTTCTTTTCCAAACATCAGCTTTACGATCAAAAGTAGTGTAGCTTAATATGGCTAACTGACAGAGCTAAAATAGGTTAAAAAGAAAAGTTCTTCCCCTTTATATCATGGCCATGCAGTTACTTTGTTCACCAGGATAGAGCATCTGGATAGAGCATATTGACAGACAAAAATGTTTATTCTTAAATGCAAAATATTTAGAAATTCTTTTTTACAATTTTGATATAATTATGGCTCTAAGTGGGGCGCTCTGTGAGCTAAAGGCATATTTTACAGTTTTTATACTCCAATTAACAATTAGGTAACAATTATTTCAATAATAGATTAATCGCGATTAATACGATTGTTTGTTTCAGTCCTCGCTCCAGCAACTGATTGCTCTGCTGCGACTCAACAGATCTGAGAAAGACTCCTGGATATAGGGCTGGGTATTGTTCAAAAATTTTCGGTTCCGGCACCAATACCGATACCTTCACTTCGATACCGGTTCCTGAACGATACTTTTTACGATACCAGTTTTACAATCTCAATTCGAAGAACATAAAAAAGTACAAATCTTGAGTTTTATTTTAAGCTCTGATTTTTCCATTTACATTTAAAAAAAAATTCTGTGTCAAATATTCACAGTTACATTGTGAGGACCTTTTTACTTAACAGTTTTCCTTTAGAAAATTACCAAGTCTGACAAACAAGCCCGTTGAATGGGATCCTACTGACAGCGCACCGCTGGTATGTGGGGGTCTGAGCGACTCCGACAGAAATATTGGAAGGCAGGATGAACTGACTGCACTGATTAAGTTTTCAGGTGGACTTTTCCACTTAAAAACATATTAAAACTACTTTATTCCTACTGATCACAGCAAATATAGCTGCAAGGCAAATAAAGGATAGAGTAGCTCCGCCCAACGCGCGTCAGACACACTTTTCAACCGGGCAGCCAGAGCAGCAAAGCTTCTTTAGCCGCGCGTCAGAAGCTGGTACAAGCAGCAAAAAGGAAGCAGCAGACGTGATTTTGCTGCTTCTGCTGCGTCCAGTTTGAAAGCAGCATGATTCACTCCGCTCTGGCTTTGCACTGCCCACGGGCTGCTGAGAGGAGGATGGTCGCGCTGGCTGCGGTCCGCTCTTCTTGCAGTCAAACACCGAGCAACTTTCTGCTCTTAAATTTTTTCTGTGCGCGATGTATTGCATTGCGCACTATTGGCATCATTCTTAATAAAGTGAAGCCGCACTTTTGACCTGGGGGGCATTTTAAAGGGGTTCCACAACGCTCACAACCAGTTCACAACAGATACACAGGAACCCTGGCTGTAGGCGTGACCACCTGTGTATTTTTCCTGGATGACGCAATCACGTTAAGTGTTACAGCCAATCACCGAAACTTGGTACCGAAAGACGAGGCATGTTTCGATACTAGAAGAAACCAAAGCATTTCGGTCGGTACCATAAAAGAACCAAAGTTCGGTACCCAGCCCTACTTGGATAGGTGTCAAACATCTTCAAAACAACTGAGCAAAAGTCTGGTTGCCTTCAATTTTAAGCCTGTTTCCTGATCCTACTTTCAACAGATCATTTATTAGGCTTTGGATTTATGATTGTAGTAGTTTAGAGTTTTATGTTTGCACTTTTATAGCATATAGTGCATAATCTAAAGACCAACACAACTAAAACGGAGATAAACCCGGAGTAATTATGTATAATGGCTGCAACTAACGATTATTTAGCTCGCGTTTAATCTTTTTTTTTTTGATTAATCGATTAATAATGGGACAGCAAAAGGTTTTTTTTTTTTTTACAAAATTACACCAGGTGAAAGTAAAAAAATTTCAACTTGGGTAGTTCTGGATAGAGCATACTGACAGACGAAAACTTTATTTTTTATCTTATGTGCAAAATGTTTATATATATTTTTTACAATTTTAATAAAATTACTGCTCTAAGTGGGTTGCTCTGTCAGCTAAAGCCTTATTTTACAGTCTCTATTTTCCATTTAACAATTAATTGATTACTAAATTAGTTTAAAATTAATATATTTTCCCCGACTGCTTTAACATGTCAGATAATGAAGCTTGTAGCGGAGGGGTAAACCACATAAAATTCTATCCGAAAATTGGTAATAATAGCCATTTAGTTTAACATTATTTGATGATTTATGTAGGAATAATCAATAGATCATTATACCAAAAACTAATACTTTCACAGTGATTTATTGAATTTAGTGTTAATCAGTAAAAAATAAAAGTAACAAATTTTATCGCGATCATTGCCATCATTTTTGCCCAAATACAGAAACAGGGTTCATACAGGAATGAGTAACTCTAATTTAATGCTGTTTAATGCTCTTTTTTGACTTACCCTGAACCACAGGCAGACATAAAGACCTGTCTGTTATTGGCGTCCAGCCAAAAGTTAATAAGGATTAAAATAACTAGGATGATTTAAACATAAGCTATTCCCCAGACGGTCTTCTTTAGAAATGTATCATCATAAATTATTTCTCTTACAGATTCTTCTCATTGATGAACTGAGCTGGCAGTTCGTCTCGAGATGTCATCCACCCGAGGGCAGTCACATGACCTCCATTTATACACACCTGCCTGATGGAGCGCCACACGGCCCAGAGCTGGGCTTCACAGAGAACAGTTTGAAAAATGTTTTCTTTACAAAGAATACACTGAACTTTTTCCAAATCTGTGGAAGAAGAAGTGTTGTGGTTAGACCAGACTCGTGCTAAACTTTAAAGTCCTCATTTCTGGAGTTTTCACTCTGCAGGGACGGAGGAAATGATCAGATCTAGGGAGTTGTCCATTAATGAATTCAGCTAAAGTTGACTGATCTTATCAACCGAATAATGATTCATTTAGAAGCGGACATTGTATTAAAAACCTGAGTTTGAACTTTCATTAAGCGAATCTTTTCTTAAAATTAAGGGTAAATATTTTTAACGATATGCTGAATTAAAGGATTCCAACTTCTGAAAGTACTTTAAATATAAAATTATCATATACTGTTCAATAAATTATGTGTTTTAAATAAGAGTAATATTCATGTGAATGTGCTTTACTGAAGGCATCCATGTTTGTCAAAGAACACTACTGCCACCTACTGGTTTGTGACGTCACGGTGCGGTATCGGCTGTTGATCAAGTCCCAGTGCTGTATCTGGTGTTTGTCACAACGCACTATTATCCAAGTCATCTTGAAAACATTCTTCTTTGAAATGTTGGCTACATATTAAGTCTTTTATTTCTCTGGCCAGAAGTTCGATGGCAAATCTTCCCTCTTCAAGATGGCAATCCAAAGACGATCCCGTCCATGGAGGATCAGTAATCGGAAAGGTAAAATAACTTTTTTTTTTCTCACTTTTATCCGATGTAGTCCTAGCCTCGTGAGACCATCCTGATCTCGCGAGCTTTCAAGATTTCACTCGCTAATCAGTCTGGAGACTCTCCGTTGAAGAAAATTCGGAGCCGTTCACCAAACGAATGTCCAATTAGCGTTGGCTTTAAGGCGGGTTGAGGTGTGACGCAACGAGAAGCACGACAGTTCAGTCTAAAGAACATGGCGGCTTCAGCCGGTGAAACTAGCGTCAGCGTGGCTATCGAGCATGTTTTATTGGAATTACAGAGTATTTCTTCACTGAAAGAAGAGCAAAACACTGCTCTGGAGGCTTTTCTCAGAAGAAAAGATGTTTTTGCTCTTCTCCCGACTGGTTTCGGCAAGAGTTTGATCTATCAATTGGCTCCTCTTCGTCGTCGCTCTGTTACGTCATATGCTTCATCGATCTGATTGGTTTATTTGGCCCGTCTATCACCAACATAGGCCAATCAGCTAACCAGTATTTTCACCCCTTCCCAAAATTACTTCAATGGAAGGTTTCCAGATGGTTATGCGGAGCAAATCCATCTGGCGGAGTCAGGTTAATGTATTCCAACATCCAGCTGCCATGCACGTGGACATTGTCAGTTTCACTATAGCTCTGGTGAATTTCAATGGTGAAGTCCTCTGAAAATCTTCAATAATTGTTGTTGATTGCAGATGTGTCTAGTAGTTCCCATTGATTCTGCTTGTAAAGCGGGAAGAATGGCGCTAGGCTTACCGCACAGTGACATCACTGCTGGAAGATGTCAGGAGTAAAAATGGACTCAGCGATCATGATGAAAATTTTTTTTTTCTTTTTCTTTTACTGATTAACACTAAATTCATTAAATCACAGCCAAGGTATTAGTTTTATGTATAAATAATAATCCATTGAATATCCCTTGCTAACTGGACTTCTCCTTTAACCCGGTGTTTTCTAAAAGGACCAGTGTCTGTTTTCCACTGGGAGGACTGGAGGTCGGAGGTCCTGCTGAGCAATACATGTTGGCAACGCTTTGTTTCCCTAAAGTTTGCTCAGTGCGACTTCACAGCATGACGGTGTCCACCTTCCACAAAGATCTAATGAGATGATATGATTTCCATGGTGTCAGTCCATAAATCTAATGAAATTAAACAGAATTGTGTCCTTATCACAGCAGCAACACATCTTGATTAAAGTAAGACCTAAAAACAAACTTCTTTAAATTAGCTTTATTCTCAGTGGATCTTTCTTTCTGAATCCGATACCTGCTGAGATGTTTAAAGATTTACCCTCTGGCTTTGGTTCTTACCTCCTGCAGGGAAAGCAGGCCTCCCAGAGGCTGCTGGTGCAGAGCTGGAGAAAGATTTAAATCCACCCCATCGCTCTCTGATGCTCAGACAGGTAAACCAGTCCTTCAAAATGAACCCAGCACTACAGAACTAGCAGGACTAAAGCTCCTTCTGCAGCTGTACATGTCTGGACAAGTCCTACATGATGCAAACTAAAGAGACTGACCGAAAACCAAGAATAAAGCAGAAATCTGAGCAGAAATATCCAGAAAATGTGTAGAATAAAGCTGAGAAAGACGACAGAAAAGCTCAAACTGAGTGGAAAGCAGCTCCTCACAGGACAGTCATGTGTTCACCTTTTCATTGATTCATCTCAAACTGATTGGTGATTATCAGCTTCAGAAGCTGTCCTGATTTCATCCTGTCAGAACAGAACCGAACCGGTCCATTCTGGGACACAGCCTCCTCACCTGCTACCATTTTAACAACAGATTCCTGTTTTTTTAACGTAACTTTATAAAAGTTCCTGCCAAATCTGGTGGACTCTTTTTTTTTTTCAGGAGCTCGTTGGAGGAATGAACACACCGGTCGGAACCCGTTGTGCGCTCTATCGGAGCTGTTCTCTCAGCTGTTAACACACTGACCTCTCCGGCTCTCGCTGTCCCTCTTTCCCGCTCTGCTGCTTCCTCTGACGGGGTCACTTCTTCTCCGGATTCGCTCCTCTCTGCCCGGGACTCTCCGGGTCAGGCACCGGGAACAGGCCGGACCGGACCCAGACCGCCTCCCTGAGCAGACGGAACACTTCTCATGCGGACCGGACCCGGCACGGAACCGGGCGGCACCGGCGGTACCGGACCCTGACCGGGAGGTATCAGCGGTGGTGCTGGGCGGACTGGCTCGATGTTCGGCGAACCCTGCGGTCGCCATCTTGTCTCTCAGGTCCGCTCTGAAAACAAACCCCGCCCCCTGGCGATAAAACAGCGCGAGCACAAGCTGGATGAGCGTGAAGCCCGCCAACCACGAAATCAGGACACAGCGGCGCGAGCCTGTTGTGGCGGGAGACCGAATTTTCAAAACAAAAGCACTTGCTCCCAGAAATAAAACAAAAGTTGATCTCAATAAATAAATAAATACATAAATAAATAAATTAACAGAAACCATCTCCAAAAAACAGTGAATTTTACTGTATTTCATCTCCACTTTTAGCATCAAAACAAGCAATAAATAAATAAATTACATAAATAAATAAAAACATCCCTTTCCAAATATCAACTTGTTACTCAAGTTAGAGTAATGTATTTGGTAAAATAGGTTTCTAAAGCACTGAGTAACCCATCTTAACATCTTATATTTAAAGTGATCTAATAGGACAACCCACAATGTAAAGATAATTGCAAAGTCTGGTATTTTAAATATTATAATATACTAATTAAATCAAACAAATAAAAATATATGGTGCAGTTAAACTTCTCCTAAAACATTTTTTTTTTTCAAAATTAACTTAAGTAAAGGAGTAACTACTCACCTCTGCCTTTAACCTTTGAATGGTACCTGTGTGTGCAGACAAAGGACACATCTCCCCATCGTGGGAACATTAAGGGAATGATCCATCAACCTAAAAATTAGGAGCACTGAAAAAATATCAATGCCGCCTCCATTCCTTGTAACATTTCTATTTCAGATGTCAAATCAACAAGAACTTAAATTGGCTCAGCAAATAAATAACGTTTCAGGACGCTAAAGTTGATCCATCATGCTTTGGGAGTTTTTTCTCGGAAAGATGCATTGGACTTGTTGCCACCGGTGCAGAGCTTAATCAGTATCCGCTTCTGGAGGGTTTTTGGATGTAATCTTTGGACATTAATAATGACTATATTTGGGTTAAAGTGAGAATTGTAGTTTTTTTTTTTAGATTTCATAATGTACAGGTGCTGGTCATAAAATTAGAATATCATGAAAAAGTAGATTGATTTCAGTAATTCCATTTAAAAAGTGAAACTTGTATATTATATTCATACATTACATACAAACTCATATATTTCAGATGTTTATTTTGTTTAATTTTGATGATTACAAATGACAACAAATGAAAATCCCAAATTCATCATATCAGAAAATTAGAATATTACCGAAGACCAATAAAAACAAAGGATTTATAGAAATGTTGGCCAACTGAAAAGTATGAACATGAAAAGTATGAGCATGTACAGCACTCAGTATTTAGTTGGGCCTCCTTTGGCCTGTATTACTGCAGCAATGCGGCGTGGCATGGAGTCGATCAGTCTGTGGCACTGCTCAGGTGTTATGATAGCCCAGGTTGCTCTAAGAGTGGCTTTTAGCTCTTCTGAATTGTTGGGTCTGGTGTATTGCATCTTCTTCTTCACAATACCCCATAGATTTTCTATGGGGTTAAGGTCAGGAGAGTTTGCTGGCCAATTAAGAACATGGATACCATGGTCCTTCAACCAGGTACTGGTAGCTTTGGCACTGTGTGCAGGTGCCAAGTCCTGTTGGAAAATGAAATCTGCATCTCCAAAAAGTTGGTCAGCTGCAGGAAGCATGAAGTGCTCTAAAACTTCCTGGTATGTGGCTGCGTTGACCCTGGACCTCAGAAAACACAATGGACCAACACCAGCAGATGACATGGCACCCCAAACCATCACTGACTGTGGAAACTTTACACTGGACTTCAAGCAACGTGGATGAAGTGCCTCTCTTCTTTTCCTCCAGACTCTGGGACCTTGATTTCCAAAGGAAATGCAAAATTTACTTTCATCAGAGAACATGACTTTGGACCACTCACCAGCAGTCCAGTCCTGTTTCTCTTTAGCCCAGGCAAGACGCTTCTGACGCTGTCTGTGGTTCAAGAGTGGCTTGACACAAGGAATGCGACAGCAGAAACCCATGTCTTTCATACGTCTGTGTGTGGTGGTTCTTGAAGCACTCACTCCAGCTGCAGTCCACTCTTTGTGAATCTCCCCCACATTTTTGAATGGGTTTTGTTTCACAATCCTCTCCAGGGTGCGGTTATCTCTCTTGCTTGTACACTTTTTTCGACCACATCTTTTCCTTCCCTTCGCCTCTCTATTAATGTGCTTGGACACTGAGCTCTGTGAACAGCCAGCCTCTTTAGCGATGACCTTTTGTGTCTTGCCCTCCTTGTGCAAGGTGTCGATGGTCGTCTTTTGGACAACTGTCAAGTCAGCAGTCTTCCCCATGATTGTGTAGCCTATAGAACTAGACTGAAAGACCATTTAAAGGCTTTTGCAGGTGGTTTGAGTTAATTAGCTGATTAGAGTGTGGCACCAGGGGCCATCAATTTTGAACCTTTTCACAATATTCTAATTTTCTGATATGATGAATTTGAGATTTTCATTTGTTGTCATTTGTAATCATCAAAATTAAACAAAATAAACATCTGAAATATATGAGTTTGTATGTAATGTATGAATATAATATACAAGTTTCACTTTTTAAATGGAATTACTGAAATCAATCTACTTTTTCATGATATTCTAATTTTATGACCAGCACCTGTATGTTTTATGACGTAAAAAGGTTTTCCCAGTGCTGATAGAATCCCAGATAGAATTGCAGAGCTTTATTTTGAAGAGATCAGTGTTTTTCCGGTTGAAAGTGCGGCTGTACGGAAACTCTCCACAGCTGACAGGTGGAGGACTTTCATGAGAGCGCGCGGTGACTTTTTCAGGTGAGCACCCGGATTAGATGAGAGGTTTAAGCTGGTTCCTGGGGAAAGCGAGCAGTTAAACTCGATGTGAGGATCTGCTGGTAACATTGCCTCACGGAAGTTACTGGAGCACAGAGCAGAGAGAAGCATAGACAGGATCTAAGGAAGTTTTCCTCTCTGATCACATCTGAAAACCTGATGAATGGTACCAGGTAGTGATGGGGAGATGAAGCCTCATAAGGCTTTGGATAATTGCTTCAACAATCCCCACAGTTCAAGAAGCCTCATGTAAACATGTCACCACCTGCTGGTGGAGTGCAGAACTACATTTAGAAATATAATCAGATTTTTTGCAATTGTTTTTAGTTTTTTTCCCCCCATATAAGTTCCTTTGAAATTGTTAATGTTTGGTCTGTATAATAAAATCGTTTGTAAGTTTTTTATGTGTAAAATGTCTTAGAAGAGGAAAATCACAGTTTTTCTGCCATTTTGGTGAAATAAGTTCAAGCAGACAGTGAAAGTGCAAATTGGCCATAGATGAACAAAATGAAAGGTGTTAGTCATTTTATTGAAACATACAGGTTTTTCCATAGTTTTTGGTTTTAATCAGGTTTGAAGTTATGTGTTCAACCAATCTTTTGGTCAAACTAACCAATCTAACTAGTACCTATATTTGTACTAGGGCAAACAATACAAATTAGTCACATTAGCAAAAAAACAAAAAAAACAACAACTTTTAGAAGTCTGATGTGAGTCTTGAACCATCAACCTCAAGACTGAAAGTCCATCTCTTACATGTGACACCACTTGCAAGACAATACATGTTCCTGAAAGCAATACTATATAAATCTCATTACATGTCTAAGCAGTGGACACTCTGATTTTGATCATTACATTGTTTAATTTCACCAGACTAGTTTTAACCAACTAGACCTGTTGTTTTTCCAACCAATCTATTCTTAGAATATATCCAAACTCTATGAAACTGACAGTAACTCTCCTACAAACTCCCACATCTTAAGTGAACACAGGCTGTTTAAATGCCTGCTGAAGTTCCGGGCAAGTTGAACCACTTCCTGAAGCGGTCACCTGGTATGGCGGGGGTAGCGAGGCTTCGGACGTCATCTATTTTGGCTCGTCCTTAAATGAAGCAAGCCTCGATACTCGACACATTCCTCGAAGCCTCGGCTCATCTCATAACATCACTAGTACCAGGTCTATCAGATGCTGACCCAGAGAAGTCCTCCCCTCTTCCAGATGAAACATTTTGGGAAAATCTTGACACAAACATTTTTCTCTTTGAACTGATTCCAATTAAAAATTGTTCAATTAAATTTTGTTTCAATTCTGCCTTCAGTTCTGGATGCAGACCAACAGGCCCCTGGTGGAGGTGGTCCGTCTGGGCCTGGTCTCCTATCAGGAAGGTCTGAGGCTGCAGCAGGTCTTTGTTAACCGACACCGGTCTGGTCCAGCACATGCACTGCTGCTGTGTCAGCACACGCCGGTCTACACCACCGGGATCCGGCACAAACCGTACCCGGGGCCCCTGCTGGAAAAGCTTTGCCTGCTGGGGGCCGACGTCCACCGAACCAACAGAGGAGGACTCATCACCTTTCATGGACCGGGGCAGCTGGTCTGCTACCCGGTCCTGAACCTGGGGAGCTTCAGGAAGGTCAGACCAGAGCAGACTGGGGTCCTTGAGCTTTGTGGTTTTGGTGGTAAAGTGTTTTCTGTTTTCTTAGAGCGTTCGCTGGTACGTCAGTCAGCTGGAGAAGACCGTCATTACCCTCTGCAGCAGGTTAGGAGTAGAAGCAGCAACGTCTCCTCATACTGGAGTTTGGGTCGGAGACAACAAGATCTGCGCCATTGGTAGGTCACGTCACCATGACTACTCTCACCACCTCAGCAGCAGGCGTTAGGTGCTGGAGCTTTGGTGATTGTGGGTGTGTTGGCTCCATAGAGATGGCTTTAAGACACTCCCTGGTTGATTTTCACCTCTTCTATGGTGGTTTTAAGCCTTTTCATAATAATTTTATCCCACTTTAAGGAAGAGTCCAGTCAGCAAGGAATAATCAATGGATCATTATAACTAAAACTAATATGTTCACTATGATTTAATGAATTTGGCGTTAATCAGTAAAGAAAATGAAAACAATTATTTTTGTTGCGATCACCGAGTCAGAGACTGGAACAAAGTCCCCCAATGTTGTTCTCCCCCCTCCCTCTTTACCAAGTACCCATCAGAGCTGACTTGTCTGTTCTCGAGATTGACAGCTGTCCCAGCATGCACTGTTGCTCTGTTGCCGTTGTTCAATAAAAATACGT